ATTATTCACTTCTGTCTGGGTTATCCATGAAAACAATACTTTATTTACATATACTCTATGTGTGGCCCTGTGATGGACTTGTGACCTGTCCAGGGTGTACCCCGCCCCTCGCACTGTGACTGCTGGATATGGGCACCAGTGACCCACGCGACCCTGAAAAGGAAGAAGCGTGTACAGAAAATGGATGGATGGATGGATGTGCCTTTAAGAAGAGAAGAATTCTGTAAGATTGATTCATGCTGGACTTTGCTATTTGACTCATTAGCACCWCTAGTGTTTGGAGGTGGAACTGCACACCATCACCAATTTCAGGCAAAGGACAGATGAGTGACAGGACAGGGTCTCTTCTGGGGGCCAATCAGATTTCAGCTGGGGCCAATGCCCCTGTGGCCCCGCCCCTAGTTGAATCAGTACTTTTTGAACTTTTTTTTTTTTGTGAAAGTGGTGAGATTTAATATAAAAAGGCAGAACTGTCAGCATCGACTCGGAGAACATTCAGTTGCACAGTGTGTGCTCTTTAGGTGCACTGGGATTCACCAACTGGAAATGTTTATTCAATGGGTTTTAATTTATTTTTTCTTTCTCCTCTACGTGAAAACGACAGTCATCATCAGATAGTAAAAAACAGCTCATGGATTCAAGCTGCTAGGTCTGTAAACGTCTTTGATTCAATGCTTGTAATTTGCCAGTTTTAGTCCAAAAACAAGGCACGAGTGCAGCTCATGCAGAATATTTCCACATCGAGACCATCGTATTGGTTTGTGCAAACTGTTAATATAAAAATAGATGTCTGAACAGAAGCTTTTATATTGCTTTTATTGATTTCTCCCACTTTTCTTCTCAATATCAAAAGATAATTGCTTAAATYAAAAGATGTTTGCTAGTTTTTCCCTTGGGGATTTTCTTGTAATGTGACAACAGAGGATGAGAACAACAAGAATGAGAGGAGATTGGGGGGATTTGGTTCTTTCTTCACTTTCAAACTGAGTGATAATTTTTAATTAAATAGGAATTTGATGAAGTGCTTGCAGCAAAAAAAGGATAAACACTGATTTAAAAAAAATCAGGAGGTTCACAACAATAGGAACATTGTATTKATGCAAACATAAAAAACATAATTATCTTTACATTCTGCAGTGTCAATACAGACTAATTGTCCAACAATCGTATTTTGCCTCAACCTAAAATACCATGTTATGACACAACATTTTGCATGTCTCCTGCAACCCAAAAAGTGCATTGATGGATGTTTATTATGAAACGGAACAATTTAACAGATAATTAAAAAAAATTGTGTAAATAAAGAAAAGGGAGGTTTGGGGAAACAAATTTCAAAGATCTTATATTTTGATTTCCCCCAAATTACCAGTTCTGTCATTATGTCATTTCGTATTTCAGCTTTTATTAAGAACATCTTACAATCGTTGAGTAAGTAGTGATCAGATGTGTAGACCAAGGACACTTTGAAAAGACAGGCTGCTGATGGATGTGAATAGCATATATTAAATTCTTCCACCGGCACAATAAAAAAGGAACCTTAAACAACCTGATGTTTTAAGACAAGATCTGTTGTTGGCGGCTGGTTCTTTTTTTTTTTAAATAAAAAAAGACACACAGTTCATTTTGTACTTTAGCAAAATTCTTAATCATATCTGAGATCAAATTCATTTCTAAAATAACATGGTTATTATTTAGAATAATAAAAAAATCTGTGCTTTTATGTCACTTTGTTATCTTCCTGCTCCGTGTCAGATATCTGAAAACCAACAGCTGTCACGCCCAGCCAGTAAACAGATTCCATTTTATCTCGTGCACAGCCTTAACCAGGTGAGGCATGTTTGGTATAACTTGAATCCTTTTTTTTTATGTTTGGGCTTAAACTTTGCTTTAATTAGGCAGATCCAGGGTTCAAACGCTCAGCTGTAGTCTCAGATAAGGTTAGCCAAGCTGGAGGCGGTCTCTCTGCGACCCTGGCGCTCGATGTGTCCCGAAACGGTGAAGATGTTGAAAACTCGGCCTACRAGCCTCCGCCCGGACCTCGTCCTCTCGAGCAGAACAGCCACGACAAAGTAGACCCCGACGCCCACGACGGCTGCCCCCCCTCCTGCCARCAAAACGACCCCAGAGACGTACATGTCGTTGAGAGCTTGGCCAGGCTTCGGCATGTGGTTAGCCAGGGCCAAATGGAGGAGGACCCCGCCGCAGATCAACAGCGACGCCCCCGTGATCAAAACCACCAGAACGTCCGACGAGCCCCCGCTCTTCAGCAAGTCTATCTGCCGCCGGCTCCGGACGCAGTTCATGTCCTGCACGGCCGAGCTGAGGAGCTGCTTGAGCAGGACCCCCAGGGCCAGCAGGCACAGGGCCGTGCCCACCCCCAGCCTCCACTCGCTCGACACGCTGGTGGTGGTGGAGAGGAGCCCGACGCCRCCGAGGCCGCATCCCAGGATCAGAAGGACGGCGACGCAGTAGCAAAGCACCGACTTCCCGGGATCTCGGAACCACCACAGCTCGACCTGCTCCTCCAGGATGCTGTGCTGAATCTGGGCCGGGTCTGCCGGACCATTCAGACCCAGATCWGGGCTTCTGGCTCCATTCATGGGAGGAAAGTTGTCCAACTCTGGCATCCTGCCGCCAGTCCCCGTTTGCGRGATATGGATGATGCCGCAACCGGAAAAAAAAACGAATCCACCGATGAYGTTGGTCTTTTCTAACGTTTTGAAGAAGAGGAAAAATTCCAGGAGTCTTTTTTAGAAGATCTGCTCMATCTCACATGTGGCTGGAGGTGGTGGTAAATATTTTACCAAAAATCCAAAAATTCTTCAGTAAACCCAGAGTATTTAAGTTTCATCTGCACCGATATAAAAAGTCAACTCAGCTCTGTTTCCTTTGAGGSATTATCTTTAAAGTCCACACTCACTGGATACAAATAGTCTTTTTCCTGTATTGATATTCAGAGCAAGGATTYCAAGCAGTGGCAGAATTTTTTAGTTTAGCCCTCCTCTGTTGGCAGCAGTCACCTGGAAGATAAGACAGACATATATTCAGCGTCAGTTTATTCTCTCATGGGGTGCCCTCTCTGCCACTGRTTCTGAGATTTGCGGTTAGCAGAAGGCAATGACTGACTGGTGCATTCATTCTGTTCCTAACCAGACAATAAATCACAGCACAGAAATGGATTCAGTACTTTTCCTTTTTTTCTTTTCCTCCCTACACACAGACAATGGGATTACACAAACAATGAAATGAGCACCAAGATGTTAATCTTATTAGTTTTGAATGTTTCTTGCTCTTTGTTGGAAGCTTAGGAAAATAGTACCTTCTTTTTTGGGGGGTTTAAATTGAAACAAAACAAATTATGTTRATGAATGATGACTTTTAGCTGGACGGCTTCGAAGGACAATGAGGAAGTGTTTTTTTTTTTTTTTTTTCGGTGAGCCGTGATGTTTTGTTTTAAAAATTTGAACATTGTATTTAGCACAAAAATAAGGAAATTGACGTTTGGTAGATTATTTCTTTGTTGTAACAATGCTACTAACCAGGAAGCTAAAAACAACTGTCAGCTACAGCAAAATAAACAGTTTGTCAATAGCAGAGAAAATCCGGCTAATTTTTCACGTGTACAACCCACATACTGGGCTCTGCTGCTCATCACACAAATGCATGTTCCTTACAAATGTGGCACCATTTAAAAGGCTTTCCATATTGTCAAAAAGCATTGTGCTGAGTTTATGTAACCATACAAACAGTAAATTAATTACTTCTCTGGTTGGATTTTGTCTATAAATCCAATGGTGTTACAAAGCCTGTTTATTTTGCTCTTATTTATATTACCACATTTGTTAAATGGGGGTGTAGTGGTCACCTCGAGGTGGAGTAAACCGTTCCACCTGTCATGGACCTTGGTCTCAGAAGGCCTTCCTTCAGAGAGACAGAACTCTGTTCGAGTTAAAGTCGCAACGTGTTTTCTTAAACAGTAAAGACACATTTTCATCTTATTAATATGATAATAAACTGAATAATCTTCTTTTTATTCATAATTTTATCAATGTATAGAAAAGAAAACACAAAAAGAATGTTATTACAATGCTTTATTGTGCTTTGATGTAAATCACTGCTTGGTAACTGTGAAACCACAGTAACTGATTATAGATTTTTAAGTTAAATATTTTACTTAACTAAACTTTGCGTTATGGTTTCACAGTTAAAGTCCAAGCAGTGATTTACATCAAGGCACAATAAAACATAATAACATTTTTTGTGTTTTCTTTTTAATACATTGATAAAATTATGAACAATGGGACAATTCAAATTTCTTCTGAGACAAAAGAAGAAATCTTCTTATGAAATGTGCTCATGTTTTTAGCTCGTTTTATTAGCTTATTTATTTGTGTCCTAATTTTTATTTTGTTTTTAGTTTTGTTTTTTGTTTATTTTTTGTCTAACTACTTGTGTGTTTTGTAATTTTTGTCTTATAACAGGTCTGTCTTGGAAATAGGATTCTGAATCTCAATGAGACTACCTGTATAAATAAAGGTCAAATATAAAATTAAAAAACTTTGTAATAACATTCTTTTTGTGTTTTCTTTTTTATACATTTATAAAATTATGAATAAAAGATTATTCAGTTTATTTTCATATTAATAAGACAAAATTGTCTCTACTGTTTAAGAAAACATGTTGTGACTTTAACTTGAACATAGTTCTGTCTCTCTGAAGGAGGCCTTCTGAGACCAAGGTCCATGACAGGTGGAACGGTTTATTCCACCTCGAGGTGACCACTACAGGGGTATTATGCAAAATCAACTTTTTTCAGCTCTATATCGTGTTGTAATGAAATTCCTTCATCAAAAACATACCCAGAGTGTTGCTTTGAATCTTTTCTGCATCTTTGAGAAGACCTTAAATCTCCTGTGATAGCTATTTGGTGCTGCCAAACACTTGCTGGTACAAAGCCCCGCCTATTTGCACAAAGCTCCTCCCTAGATTTCAGTCCCAAGCTGAGCTTCCACCCCACAGAGCACCCCTCCACCGATGCATCGTTGTGAAGTGGGAGTGTCAGAAATGGTAGGAGGTTCTTAAAGTGTATCTTACC